CTAGCATGTCTCCGACATAGTGATAACACTCGTTGCCTTCTCTAGTGCAGCTCAACCAGGTCTCGTCCCATTCGTCAATATTTGTGATATCACAACGAGTCGTTCGTTGTAGTTTTCGAAAAGTGATTTCTGTTAAATAAAATATCTCCTTTTGAAGTGGACTTTGAGCTTTGTAACTTTGCAGATCTTTTTCATGCTCAAACAGCAACATTACAGACTAAATAAAGTTGAAAAATTGAAAAAGCATAATAGCACCCATTTAACTACTATGTACTTACATTTAAATTAATGATTTCTGTTAAATAAAATATCTCCTTTTGAAGTGGACTTTGAGCTTTGTAACTTTGCAGATCTTTTTCATGCTCAAACAGCAACATTACAGACTAAATAAAGTTGAAAAATTGAAAAAGCATAATAGCACCCATTTAACAACTATGTACTTACATTTAAATTAATAATTTGGTACAATGCACTTATTGTGTACATACATGTTTTTACATTGTACATATATTTTAAAAACCTGCATGTAATTACATCTGTAAAGTGGGACTCTTTATTTTATAGTGTACTTGTTACAGTGTAATTATACTGTACATATAAGTACTGAGTAATATTAATTAACTACATGTACTTACTATATGGTTAGGGTTAGGATTTGGGTTTGGCTTATGGTTACTTGCATGAAATTATGCATAATTAATTGTTATTATAATAGTAAGTATGTGTAACAAGGACACCTTAAAATAAAGTCTTGCCAAAAAGTGTACTCAAAGTGTTAAACCTTGTTCTGCAAAACTTTTGTAAGATTTGCATTTGGTTCTACCAACATTAACTACGAGTAGGGTTAAGTGTATGCAGTGTATGCAACGCTTTTCTTAGAACGAGGGTTACAATTTCATGATGTTTTCGGACTAGATGATAATAGTTAAAAGTTGCATCTGGTTGAAAAGTAGTGATTCTAAACTCATACTTCTGCTAGGTTTTTGTGGGACTTCCTCACTGCTAATTAGACCAGCAAATGGATTAATGGATTATATTCTATTATATACGATTATATTACAGATAGAGCAAGCATTCTTCAAATACTATTTTCACTTACTCCAAAAAGCTGGTGATATAGTCCTTGCTGCAGGCTGACCAGGAGAAGGGGTTGGTGTTGGCTGTGATATGGGCCGCCATCAGCTTGGCTGTCTCGTGACCTTTGGTCCCACAGGAGTTCCCGATCCCATCATGGTTCATGCCAAAACTGTGAGATAAGCGGCAGATCATGAGCTTTGATGGATCACGTCAATCACATCGCTCAAGCAAACAAGCTTGGGCAGCTCTGAAAGAACAGGAGCGGAGGACATCTCCTTCAGCTAAGCTGTAAAGAGAGGCTTGGTAACAGCTGTGAGAAGAGGATAGACAGGTCAAAGGCCAGAGGCTGTCTGGAGCTCTGAAGGAACGTGAAAGTTGTAATCACTACCCTGATCCAGGCCTGTCAATCAATAATTACACGTTTGAGCAGACCTCAATCGGGCAGTCATCTCTTAATGAACCTGGCCTGCCTTTCCCCCTTCCTCCAAGTTGCTTTCATCTGCTCACGGGCCATTGGTGTACAAGACTGCTAAAGCATTCGGCCACATTCCTTGCCGGCAACTCCACAAATACATAATTTGAGCCATGCAAATTTTGTTCCCTTACATATCTGTCTGGATATTGTATGAAAAAGTCAGATCAACTTACGCCGAGACCTCAAAGCTTTCGTTGTCTATCCAAAAGCAGAAATCAGCCTCTAATGCATATAACATACCCCCCACCACATCACACAATTCCGCTGTGTTTTTTTAAGGCGCACATTTATGACATTTCACTCTACTCTCAATATAAATCAGAGCGGGAGAAACCTTCCCCACAAGAAGCAGGAGCTATTTTTACAACTGCTCTACAACAGAAGCAGACGCAAGATATAATAGAGGAAACTGCCATCTCGCTGAACTTAGCCGAAAAGCTACATAGACCAATAGATCATGGTTATTTTTCTAAGCTTTCAGGATAGGGTTCATTTGTCCAGACGTTCATTTGCATAATGATGTGTGTGCAGACGGTTCACGCTTTGCATTTTGGCTAGAGGAATATACATGGTAATGACCACAATAAATCCAATCCAGACACAAATACATTATGAGACGTGAAAGCGTCACATGTAGAATATTGAGCAATTTTTCAACCACCGAGAGCTTTAATCAAGTCCTTCAGGGGTGCATTCACTGAACAGTCGCACCGCTTTTGCATGCTGTATTTCACTTGCTACCCACAATCCAGTTTAACCAGATACTAAATGCTCTGAAACAGGTGTCAAATATGATAAAGTAAAGGAAAAAAATCTAAAAAAATAAAAATAAAAATAAAAATAAATTAATTTGAAAATTTTCCTAGAAAGTTCTTTAAAAAATTATATTTATATATTTTCAAAGGTTTTGTTAAAATAAGATTTTCTTGAGCAATAATAACAAAAGATTACACCAAACAGTTTTTTAGGAATTGAATTCTTTAAAGAGGCTTTTTTCTTTATTACGATATCAAAAAATATGAGTCATGGTGCTCATTCAGGAAAAGTGAGTTTGAATCTGGCTTGCTACATTCTTGTATCATTTTCCCCTAATTATTTCCTGCCCTAGGTCTTTGATTCTATGAATAGAAGTGCCAAAAATGTGTATAAACTCACTGTAAACAAGATGATTTAAAGGGATAGATCACCCAAAAATGACAATTCCATCATCACTTACTCATTGACTACATAGCCATTGACTTACATAGTGTTTTTTTTCCCATACTATGGACATCAATGGCTACCATCAACTGTTTGGTTACCCACATTCTTCAAAATATCTTCTTTTGTGTTCAGCAAAAGAAGAAAAAAAACTCATCAGGTTTGAGTTTTCATTTTTGGGTGAACTACTAAGTAAGCAATTGTAATAGTGATGCCTGCCTTAGTAAACACCACTAATTAAGAACAATTAACATATATTTTATCACATATGTCCATAACCATGAATGTTCACATTCATGCAAATGGTCAGAGAGACAAATAGAGAGAGAAAATATACTTACTTGTGTCCGATCTCATGTGCAATAGTGAAGGCTGAACCAAGGCCTATATCTTCATTAATACTACAGCTCCTCTCTGGCTCACACATTCCGGCTACGGATGCCAAACCTGGCCACACACACACAAACACACACACACACACACACACACACACACACACACATGAGGTCAGGTCAAGGTGTAGAAGTGCTACACTGAGTCACCACCAAAAAATGAGATTCTTCACATTAACCTCGACACCACTGAACTTGAAGCTGGTGAAAAGTTTATGCAAACGTTTTTTTAAATCACCAGGGGGTGGGTCAACTTTGACGGCTAGACGATTAAATAAAAAACAACTGATGTTGTAGCTGGAAAATGTCTAGACAAGGGGGTTAGATTAATAAATTCTACATCTGGTAACAAGGGACCACCTAGTAATTCAAGCCAGAGCTCGGAATTCAAGAAAACACATCACTTTGAGCCCCTAAAATATAGATGTTTTTATTATTCAAGGTTTCAGAGTTGCAAAAAGAGTGAAAGAAATCATTGTTTTCTTAATCCTGTTATGTTTGTTTTCTTCCAAATGAGATTTAGTTGACAATTTTTGGGTATTAACACAAAACCCACATAAGCTGAAATTTACTACTGACAGTGTTTTGGTCCCCAGCCTACAGGGACTTGGCTTTCTGAGAGGTTTGTACATTTTTAAGCCTTATGTTCCACTGTCATTTTCCTTGCCATAAAAAACAGCCCTGTTATTTAATTGGTATGGAATGAAGGAAACATTAAATGTACTCTCTGTTTTTATGAAGCAACGTTTGTAGCAAGTGTGGCGGCACTGACATAGAGCACTTGGATCTCACAAAACTTTCACAAATCTTTCTGTACACTGCCTACATAGGCAGCTTGATGACTGAAATGTGACATAAGAATTGACTGATTTAAAACACTCTTCATAGACAGCATCAAAGTTAAGCGAACAACACTCGACATTATGCGAAGTACAATGGAGAATCGACTCACAATTGAGGTTTGGCAAGAGGTTGATAGAGATTTGGATCATCATGTTGATAACCTAAAAACATGTTACTCCTATAAGCATAAAATACACACATTTTCAGGATAAAATTTAAGCTATATAAATTTGAATGAATTTGAGTTATTTAAAATAAAAAAATCAATGAGTTACTATTTAAAATGTAAAAAATACTGCAAATATATTTATAAGTGACAGTCTTTCGCTTTATGTTGGATTAATTTTGTGCTTTTCTGGGATTGTCTTCACATTTTTTGATACATTAATGAGAATTCATACAACTTTCTTCTGTGAAACAGAAAAACAAGAGAGAAATTCGGAGGGAATGGTTGCTCTTTTCCTTGCATTTACAATAAATGGGGCTTCTAAGCATCAAAAAGGATGCAAAAGGAGCATAAAAGTATCAAAACAAAACGCACATGAGGACATTTCCGTTAACCATAAAACAATATTATGAAGGGCAAAATTCAAAATACAGGAAAACACCTGTAAAAAATCTATACGCAAAATTCCTTCATTTTAAAGGGATAGTTCACCCAAAAATGAGAATTCTGTCATTAATTACTCACCCTTATGTCGTTCCAAACCCGTAAGACCTTCGTTCATCTTCGAAACACAAATGAAGATATTTTTGATTAATTCTGACAGCTCTCTGACCCTCCCATAGACAGCAAAGCAATTACCACGATCAAGGTCCAGAAACGTAGCAAGGAGATCGGTAAAATAATCCATGTGACATCAGGGGTTCAACTGTAATTTACTTGTAAAATACTTTTTGTACGCAAAGAATACAAAAATAACGACTTTATTCAACCTGGTGCCATTTTGGAGAATATCCACTGAACGTAAAAAGCATATGCTGGTCTGTGTCAGCTGCAGCATTTACAAATAACAGCGTATCTAAAAGTATGAGACAACAACAATCAAAAAACATACCATTAAAAGCTGTGCTTGCACAGGTTTTGCACGATCCTCTTCACTAAAATCCTTTGAGTCTCAATCGGGCTCAAACTGATAAGCAATATAGACGACGCCATTGTTTACAAAACAACTGGAGCACATGCCGCTGAGGTGAGGGGCGGGACGCTTAGACGCACACTAGAGGCGGTTTAGCCAATCACAACACACTGGACTAGCTAACCAATCCATTAGAGTCCATCGTG